ACTTTATGAGTTGTCGTGGCTTATAGTCACGGGGGAATGAGAATGGTGATTTCTAAATGAATATGGGCCCACGGGCCGACTACTTGACTTTTATATAAAGTAAGTATATTTTCGAATGGGGTAACTTAGAGTTACAATCGTAATGTACTATCACCCTATTTGAGGGTCTTGTGTTTGAAATACTTGTTGTATATCTATTAGATGTCTGCCACACCATTACTTTATAGCCGTATAGAGTACTGACCCCTTCGGGGGCGTCCCACCACCATTTCAGGTTGAGGCTAGAGCTTGCATCCTGTGCTCGTTGATCGAGTGATTCCTCGGGGAGAAGACTTGGTTCGTGCTTCCTCCATTCTATTTGAAACATTAATAAATTTGCTCATGGATATTTTACTATAGAGCCTGCGTGCTCATGAATAGTCCGGTGTGGCCTTTTTGTTTTAAACAATGTTTTCCGCTGCGTTATGAATTACTTATTATGTGTGTCATATGTGTGTTGGATAGCCTGTTTATGGATGTCATATGTGTGAATGATATTCAAGACGCTTTGTATAATATGAATGTGTTGGACTGCGGTTGACTATTCGTATTGTACGGCGGGTTGTTGACGTGTCCGGGGAGGTCCCGGGGCGTGACAAACCCATTATTTGAATTACGGAGTATAATGAATAAGAAAAACCTTCGATAGAAACAATGTATGTGATTCCTAAACTAAATCAAAATTGTCGTAACAAATATGTACTCCATCGATCCTATAAAATTTGGCCAAATTGACTTTGTAAGATCAATGATCCTAAATGTTGGACAATGAATTTAGTTATTACCATTGTTCTATCAATCTTTCAAAAAATTATTGTTCTATCATTCGCTCTAGGCGCCCGACTACCTCACCTATGTGCTAGACTGTTATATTGTGCCTGAGTGGTCCAATTTTAATCTACACCGGAACAATCATATCTGAATTTTTTTTAACCGAATTACAAAACATCCTTAAAAACTATGATATTCATAGAGCATGAATTGGGATGTTTTAATAATAATTAAGGCTGGAATTTTTTTGTCTGATCTCGCCTGATTTGTTTAAGTCTGATTTGGTCTGGTCATCAATTACCAGATATAACATTTATGTCCTAGTCTATTACGTAGTACTACCTCCGTCCGGTTGAAATGTTCTCATGGCAAAACGACATGATTATTTAGCCAATAACTAAATAAGGTAATCAAGTATATTTTGATAAATAATTTTAACAGGTTAGTGTTGATAACGGTGATGTTATGAATGTATTACTCTGTATTTTTTATATTGTCATTTAAATTGTCAATTGTTTCCTAAAATAGAAATGACAACCTCTATATGAGATGTCCAAAAAGAAAAGTGAAAACCTTTACATGGTTATGAAAATATTTTTGATAAAGAACAACCTCATGTAATTTTCATACTTTAAATAATTTTGTTTTATAAAAAAATCATCAATCAAACTTGCCCTTCATTAAATTTAAAAAGTTAATAGGACCAAGTTTTATGAAACGAAGAAATATAAGGTTAGGAATTAATTGATAAATTGTTTAATTTTAAAAATTGAACACTAAATAAAAGATTAGATCTTTACAGGTACTTTAGAAAGATCTTTGCCTAAGTTGATGTTATTTATTCAAGATTTTTAAAAGTGGTATATAAGTGGTATAGGCGTATAGCATGCCCGCCACTATTACGACGTAATTATACTATTATTACTAGTATATAATTATATATTTTAACTTGATAATTATTATAAAACCTAATACGGAGTATTTTTCTAAGGATGAGCCGTCTGACGTGCTCAATAAAGAGCACGCAACGTGCTTAGTAAAATTATTCACCAATACTAAGGATCTTGTATAAGATTCAGAAAATGAATAAACGGTGGAACTTTGAAATGAAGTTTTTACCATCCACTTTTATTCATTTCACAAAATATTCATTTACACTAATACGAAAGAGTTCTCAATCGAAGCGCCGGGACAGCAGTGGACAGGGTGCATTACAAATCAAAATCAAACAATTTACGAAGTATTAAAAAGGTGTAACTACATTTTAAGGGGTTCGTATTATACTTGAAGTTAAAAAAACGAAGATCATTCTAAATAAAGACTTGTTAAGCGTCACCGTATTCGTGGTCGCTGACGGTCCCCTATTCAGTTGGACCCTTTGCTCCACGCGTTGACCAGGCTTGACCCCCCAACCATTATGGAACGTCAATGTGGGACGACATGGCATAAATGTAACTGAAAACCTTCTCGAAAAATTCCCGATGACCATACAAATAACTTTCATAATATTCCATATGACTCCATAAGAAAGTCATAGGCTTCTTAAAAATTTTGCTAAAACAACTACAAGTTCTTGCCAATAAACATACGAAGTAGATGCTAACAACATATTCCGTAACTATTTGCCGGTGTTGGTTGGTGGATCCTCCTTATTTTATTTCTCATGTACATAGTTTTCGACAACGATTATATTAATAATATCTTAATTTATTTTGTTCAAACACAAAAAATTAGTACGAGTACTATGGGGTATACTCCATCTTTTTCTTTGACTACATATAGAGAGATGGGTGGGTCATGGTATCCCAGAAACTTTACCGAATTACATACTTCATAGTCCGTATCTAGAAAATATCATTGAATACTTTGGATGCAGTAAGGAGAATAAAATTTTTAAAATGAAGTTTTGACCATTAGAAATTATTCCTCAATCCACACCATCATTAAGACTCAAATTTATTATAACTCTACATTATAAAACCCAAAAGATTACTTTGGATGCAGTAAGGAGAATAAAATTTTTGAAATGAAGTTTTGACCATTAGAAATTCCTCAATCCACACCATCATTAAGACTCAAATTTATTATAACTCTACATTATAAAACCCAAAAGATTAACAATGTTAGTCTTATAACCTTCAAATGTATCCATTATTAATTCTATGATTTCATTCAATTGCAAATTTAGTCGTAATCGATACTGTACACTTTTGCGGACTTTTCACCAAAAGCACATTTCCTAGCTACAAAAAGACTTTGGGAAAGATGTCATTAATTAGAGCCTAATTTTGTGCTGGATATTGTCTTCTTCGATCTACATGCGAATGATATGTGCACAACCAAAATTACGAATTGAAATTGGAAATCTCCCTAAAATTAAACGTACATAAAACCTTAAATCAGATTTCTTCGCAAGCGACGAGCAACTTCAAAATCGGATTTCGAATTGTCTTCTTCGCCAACATGCACCTTCTTCCTCTTCTCGAGTATCAAGTCATCTTCTTCGCCTACACCTTCTTCCTCTTCTCCGATTTCCATTTTTTTAGATTTGGGCTCCATGTGGTTGTTGGTGGTGCAGTGTGTGGGACATTGACGGGCTGGTAGGGTAGCGATGGGTCTAGGACAAGGGTGGAGTAGGTGTATGGGACTGGGTGGGGATGGGGGCTGGGGTTGAGGCTGGGTGGGGGAGGCATGCTGGAGAGGATGGTGTTACTAGGGATGGGGCAGGGGTTTGGCAGTTGGTTTCTGGGCATTGGTGGTGGCCGGAGGAGGTGGTAGTCGCTGAAGTTGGCCAGAGGTGGTGCCGTGGTGGTCGCCGACGGTTAGATGGGTGTGGTGGTTGTAGGAGGTGGTGGCTGCCACGGGTCATTATTTGACCGAGTTACGGTAAATGGTTGGACCGGGTAATTGTAATTAATAATTGGTCTCTTTCGAGTACATGTAACCGGTCAAATCGGGAAATGTAATTGGCGGGTTGGGTAATTGTAATTGACAGGTCAGATAACTGTAATTGGCGGGCCACGGGCCAGGTAACAGTTGATCACTGGATGAGTAGACGTTGGTCATTGAACGGGAGGATATTCATCACTGGACGGAAGGATGGAATGTTTGGTCACTAAAATATTTTGGTCATTCTGTCATGGGCAAATAAGGTATTAATTAGGGAGGGGTATATTTGATATTTGGATCCTATAAATTACTATTAACGATCATATGGTAGTCTCTTTTCTTTTTGGAAAAGTTAAATGAAGGTCTTATATTTGTCCAAACTAATTTTAATTAGTAATTTTGGTGACCTAACCCCTAATTAATTACTACTCCCTCCGTACCATTTAAATCTTTACACTTTCCTTTTTGGGACGTTCTATTTACTTCTTTAAGTTTCCTTTTTAGGCAACTCTTTTTACATTAAATGTCTTAACTATCCTTCACTAGCCTCCCACTTTTTACATTTGAGTGGATAACATTAATTTCCCCCAAAAGTCAAAGGGCATGCCGCAAGACATTTGTTTTTCTACCAATTGTGCTCCTAAATATCGTGCCAAAAGCAAACGTCAAGTTCTATCCAGAACGGAGGGAGTACAACAAATGAATCACACATTGACAATGATTAATAATGTAGCAGTGTAACTATTAAAAAATTACATTAAACATGTCATAATTACAAGTGGTGATATCAATAATGGATATTTCATATATGAAAGTAGTTCCATTTAGAAACTTGATTGTGCAGTTATTAGATTAATCAACTCATATATATACTTCAAAAGATAGATGTCTAACACGAACATTTACAAAGCAATGAGAGTGCAGTATTCACTGCATTACATTATGAAATTATACGCTCTAGTTGAATATTTTTGTTTTATTTTGGTTATTAACACAAAATTTGCTCTAAATCTTCAGGAGATGAGGGAAAATCTTGAAGCTCATACCTCTTAGGCCTCACCCACCTTCCACAAGAATTACGATGAAGGCCCTTGTTCCGCAATTGATACCAATTTGGAGGAATTCTAAGTTCATCCACAAGCATATCACAATCCTTATTCACCAATGCCACATCCCTTTTAGCATCCTTTCTGAATGTCACAGTTGAACTGTGGTAACAATCCACAAGGTGAAGGTATGTCTCAAGCATATGGCACCCGAATAGGTTCATCCCGCCTTTCAAGTACGGTGAAGACTTAACATCTAGCTTCAATTCTGCCCCAATGTGTGTGTAAACCCACTCTAATGGACCCGTTAAATCGTCATATTTTTGTAGTCCTTCATTGAATACAACCCCGGGCCATTTTGGTACTATGTCTTGCTTCACTGTCACTCTCAACGTTTTAACTCCCTTTTGGTATACCTGTTACATTAGGAATGAATCTTCAACTCATTACATGTAAATTTTGAATATAAAGAATTTCATATACATAATGGACAAGATTCAAAATTTATCATGTAAAAATTAATGTGTTTAAAAATTTTATTAATTTTTGTAATACCATCCCAGTATAATTTGTACTCTCCTACTCATGCCCTAGCTAAACTGAATATGGTTTCGATTCTGATATCCTTACTAAAGGTTAGAAGCAATAGCCTTATAGTTATACCTTTACTCATTCATTTTCATTAGCCTTTTTAATTTAATAATTATCCTAATTACGAGCACATCACCATATAGATATTAGTGTGTTATTCGGATTATTCACGTTCAAACCCAAAGTGCGACCCAAATTTCCTATTTCGACTACTCATAACTTGTAGTCTACGTACCACCATTTAAAACTCCTATTGAACCATTAGTGATATGTAAGAAGTATATCTTCTGACCTGCATGGTCGATCTCCAAAGGATCAATCAACCAGTCAGATACTTCAATTCATACGGAGTATTTATTAGTGGACACACATATGGCAAGTGACAACCTAGTAACGTACAAGGAAACATTCTTATTTGAATTATTTTCACCAAATCGATTGTCCAAAATAAAAATATTTTATACAATCATCCTAGATTAGAAGATGTTTAATAACAAAAAAACGGAATTGAATAATATTTGTATGTATATGATCGGAACAAAGAGCACAATGAAAGGTTAACAATCTGGGAAAAGAAAGAATATGAAAATGTAACAAACACTTTGCAATAAACATAAATGCTATCAACACATGTCATATATGGTTACATAAAAGTTAGAGCTGATTATATATATTTCTTACAATATTGGCTCTTTTATTGGTACTCTTTACGGTATTACGGATGAAATTATGAACCTAGTATCACTGAATACTTCAAACAATTTATTATAAGACATTTAAGGAGTTCCTATTTTACTAGAAATTTAAAAATAAAATACGAAGATCATTCTAATTAAAGACTTGTTAAGGATGGGAGTCGTGGGGTTACCCTACGGGTCGTGGGATTCTAATACGATGATCACTACTTAGAGCCTAAATTGAAAGTTTGAAGGACAAATTTCTGCTCCATAATGTCTTCTTCGATGTAAAAGCTATTACGCATTAAATTGAAAGTTTGAAGCACAAATGATGTTTTCTTTTGGTCTGTTTACAGTCCCAGACCAGATCAGGTCAGATCAGACCAGACTTCCGTAGTTATAAAATACACAGAGACCAGATCAGACCAGACAAGACTAGCAAACATCCAAAATCTACATGTGAATAAAGATACGTGACGACTATATGTGCACAACCAAATTTACGAATTGAAATTGGAAATCTCCCTAAAATGTACATAATAAAACCTTAACTTTGGACAGGAAAATATGTGATATACTTAGTAAATGATTTGTGTGTATAAATTATGACATTTCTCTAACCGACGCCCGATTGCCGGCCAATTTAATTATGATTGATGTAATGTTCATTCATGAATTTCTTCATCAACCAACATATATCTATGTAAAAACAACTAAGATTAATACTACGTCTATGTTTTTTAAATCTTTAGTATTTCATTAAATTAGAAATGTTTGCTCCCTAGCTAGTATGCATGCAACAAACCTCATCCCGGAATGCTAGGTTGCCTATTCTTGGGGCAGCAAAGGATATGACCGTCACCGGCACTCCCGGAAAGTGGACCGCCGATTCATACGCGTTGAGCACGGCGAGAGCGCCGCCGAGGCTGTGCCCCGTCACCGTGAGGCTGACCTCCTCGCCTCTGCTGATGTAGAAGTCAACCATCTTACGCAACACCCTCATGACTTGTTCCGAGGCGCTTTCCTTGTTGTATCTTGAACCGTCTCTTTTGGACGTGTAAATGCTCAGAAAACCGTACTCCACTTTGGCCTCGCCCTGCCCGAACGCCTCCAACTTGTTTTGCATATTCTCCGACCACTCCGACGGCGTCACCGTCCCCCGCCACGACACCACTATATCCCTCCGCCCGATCCGCCGCGTCTCCTCGTCGTCACTCACCCCCACGAACCCTATCCAGTTTGACCCTTTACTCCACGCGTTGACCAGGGTTGACCCCTCCAACCATTCCGGAACGTCAATATGGGACGACATGGCGTAAATGTAACTGACAACCTTGTATCCGTTCCGGGTGAGCCCCACCTTGTCGAAAAATTCGCGGCGGCCGTACAGACAGCTTCCGTAATATTCGGAATACGGGTCCATGTCGAAGGCGTCGTACGTCGCCTGAGCGAACTCGCCGTATTTGATGATTTCCCGTCTTAGCCATGGGTGGAGCGGGTCGACGAGGCCTTCCCATTCACGGCAGCCGTGGATTTCTCTCCACTCCGATGATATATTCTCCCTCGGAGACATCGCCGGCGTGTCTTCCATGTCCTGGATGCTCATTATTGTTTGGTCCCTCGATTTGGCGCCGTTAATGTTGACGTCGGGAACCTCAATTTGAAGGTTGTTGAGGAGGCCGGACATGGTCTCTGCCAGTTTTGCAGCACCGGTTGAAGCCCTGTTAGTTAGGCTCTGGATGGTATCGTTTGTGTTGGCCTTGACGGCGGCTGGACGCGAATTGTTTGCTACGGCAGCGGCGGGGAGGCCACTCATGCCGCCGAGAGCGGCGGTTGAGAGTTGGTTGGTTAGTTGCATGTCGGGTAAACAATGTGCACGAACAATAGTTATGATATTGTTATGATGTGTCCCTTTATTATACGGTATGAAAGAATTTTAAGAGATACTCCGTGCTAGTAATAATAATTGGGTATCAATTTTGGAAAGTTGCAACTACGTCTACCGGTCAACGATCACACTCGCTCCTTTTTTTTTTCCCCGAAAGACGATCACACTCGCTCCTAATAAATTACGGAGTACTTTGAGTTAAAAATATACTCCGTAAATCACACCAGAAATTTATGGAGATGAAGAAAAACATGAATTAATTATTTAATTCTACCAAGTACCAAGAATGGGTTCTTTGACTTGTAACTAAACTTTTGAAAATTAGGCAAATATACATGCGTAAATAATTCAATTTAATTAAGTATTTATTTAGCTATAAAGTTTTAATCCGGCCACTCACACGATGTAACTGAAATACTCCGATCCCAATGAAATAAATATGTAAATTTGGAGTCCCTAATTCTGAGAGGCGAATTGATACCTCTTAAAACAACAAAAAATACAATTTGTAACTATGAAATACAAAATAGATTAAGAGTCCATTTGGTGATCATATGTTTCGGTTTATCAGTCAATTTTTTCATCAAACATGTAATTTTAATAATTCTGCGTGTAGAATTGTGTAATAATAGGAAATGGTAAGGTTGAAGATATTTTTCTGTCTGCATTGACTGAAGTTATTGTAGAGGGTTACTTTAGTTATTTCTCATACTCCCTCCGTTCTTTATTATGTGTCCTCTTAGGCTTTGGCACGGGTTTTAAGAGGAAAATAGTAGGGGTAGTGTAAAAGGTGTAATGAGTAGTGGGTAAATGAAAAAGTAGGAAAGAGAAATGGGTAATGGTAATAAAAGTGGGGGTATAAAGGTATATTTAAAGTAAAAACTTTCCTTAAATGGAAAGGAGGACAAATAAAAAAAAACGTCCCAAAAAGGAAAGAAGGACTTTTATTAAAGAACGGAGGGAGTATAACTTTTTCTTTATTTTTATGAATAAATATACTTTAAAAGTTTTTTCATAAATTAGTCGAATTAGACAATTCAGCCACTTTAGCTAGAATTCATAAGTTTCATCACAATCAGCCAGTTTTGGCATTACCAAACAGGTTCTAGGTAGTTCAGTAAAATATAAGTTTTATAATGTTTAAAATACATAAATGAGATAATCTAAAAGTTATACACATTTTAGAAAAAAATTCATAAATTTTACGTAGTATAACGTTTAGAAAAAAATCAACCTATAACTACTATTGCATACTACGTATAACGTACTAAATATTGGGGGCCCCAAAAAATGTGTGCCTAATGCCAAGAACCTTGTGCAACTCCAAAAAGCAGTCCCGTGTTTATTGATGACCAAGTTTGATAGATGATATTTTTTAATATAAAATCATCTAAAATACAAAAAAAATTATATGAAAATATTATTTGTTAAAATATTTTCATAGATTTATAAAGTATAAAGTTATGACATAAATTTCTACCAAGAGTTTCTTTGACTTGTAACAAAAATGAGTATTGTGTATAGAGAGTTAATGTGGTTATAAAAAAATGAACACCTAAAATTTTGAAAATTTGGAAAATATACATGTTTAATAATTTAATTCAGCTTTTATTTTTCAATTATACCCCTTAGATGTTTGAGGTATTTTAATTATTTTCCCCTTAGATGTCTCCCGGCCTGAACGAGTCCTAAAGATCAGAAGACAGCTTCCCCAGGATCAATGAAATGACATCCTCCTCGTCCTACGATCATGCGTCATCATCTTTTAGTGGGGACCGGAGGATATGTCGGGCATCAATCGAAAAGTAATCACACATCGATCGGCTGTTAGTCGACCCAGCCTCCACCACAGTTAAACAAAAGTGATTCTACCTTTAGGCTGAGAGGCGTGACTTTGTCAAGGTGGAAGTCACCATGCCCATCTCCATCAACGATATGAAGGAGGTGAAGTACCCCACGTAGTTGGCGAACGTCGTACTCACCTAGAATCCGCCCACGTCTAGGATCTCGTGTGCCTGAAGTCTTTTAATACTCGAAATCTTCAGGTGCAAAATTAACAATTTCAGGCATGCAAACTATGTATCTCGAGCAACTAGGTATTCATAGTCCGTGATCTTCTCTTCTTGGTCTTCTTGTTTTTCAAAACAGCACTAACAAAAATATACGTAATTTGTAAAGAACAAATCCATAAATAACACAATCAAATATTTCAATTTTGATCAAATAAATTCCTTCAAAATTCTAACAATCATGATGAACAAAGTCGAATAATACCAATTGTGAATTCCCAGACTTTCAATAGTCGAATAATACTAAAACAAAGTATGTAAAAAGGATGTAGAAGATGGAATGATCAATCAACTAGCAATATCGTATATTTAAGATGATATATATGTCGATGAATACATGATATATAAATAAAGAGTTGAGAGGGAAAAAGTTCAAAGCACTAGAATGATACGTCCGGCAATATTGAATTGTGAACTCTTCTCTCTCTCATCTTAGCATGTTCTCTCTCATAGAGGTAGTAGCAAACATCCTACTTAAAATAAGATGGTCTTATAACATTAATTACAAAGCCCACTAATTTAATTTAATAGATAAAGTTAAATATAATTAAATTGAATACAATAAAATATGTTCTAACAAAATATACTTGATGGATTGTCTACCCGGGGTATCTTATCCGAGGGGTTATTGAGGGAATAAATAGAGAGAAGTCAGAGCAAAATAGGAGGAGAGAGAGTCGATTTATTAAATGAACTCAGCGTGGTTTACCAGGAGAATAAGGGCTGCTATTTATAGCAGCAATAAATGTGATGAGAGTACGCGTGTCAGTAATCCAACGGCCGAGGGGTCACATCAATCGGGGGTGGCACCGACCATCGCACGTTCCCCACATTAAATGCGGTGGGTGGATGTGACGTCGCATTAAATGCGGTGGTTGGCTGTCTCCAAAGGGAATCTTCGATGATTGAGTCCGTTTAGCCGAAGGCTCCTCGCGTAGCCGAGGGCTTTGTGTGGACAAAGGCACTGTGTGGCCGAAGGCTTCATGTATGGCCGATGGCTTCATGTATGGCCGAGGGCTTCATGTATGGCCGAAGGCTTCATGTATGGCCGAAGGCTTCATGTATGGTCGAAGGCTTCTCTGATGCCGAGGGCTTGATAATGCCGAAGGCTCCCTGTGTGGACGAAGGCTTCATGTATGGCCGAAGGCTCCCTGTGTGGCCGAAGGCTTCATGTATGGCCGAAGGCTCCCTATGTGGCTGAAGGTTCCATGTGTGGCCGAAGGCTTCATGTATGACCGAAGGCTCCCTGTGTAGCCGAAGGCTTGGTTCAGCCGAGGGCTTCCCCTGGTGCCGAGGGCTCCACAGTGCCGAAGGCTCCTGTTTTCTGTCATTTTCTCCCAGTAGCTTCGCATGGTCGAATATGGCGGTTCTGTGAGTTTTGGAGCCTTCGGCCAAGGAGGCCGAAGGCATCCCTGTGTGTACTGTGGGCTTCTTGACGCTTGGGCCGCCGAATCTTGGGCCTCCTGAGCTCCTTAGGCTTGTTGGGCTTGTGATAGATTAGTAGGAGTTTGTGGGCCGGGGGTTCCCGGGCCATATACTCCATATATATTATACAAAAAAAAAAAAAAAATCTAATTCTAAGCACGTATCACTAAAATAAAATAGTGCAATCATCTGTTCTATAATGGTCAAAGTAGACATGCCTTTTATGATGATGATTTCCTCTTATCTTCATTGGGCGCGCCACTCTTGCCACCCAGGGCAACCTCTTTTCCGAGAGTCATCTGGCATGGGCAACTCCTTGTGGCTGCGAAGTAAAATCGTATCATCCCCAATCATTGTCAATGTGAATGGGCCCTTTTAATTTTTGCTGATGATTTTTTTCTTTTCTTCTTCTATCGTGCCACTCTGGTCACCTGAGGCAGTCTCTTGACTTATAGGCTCATCTGGCACAAATGCCTCCTGTACAAATGCCAAAATCAAATGGGTTAAAAAAGGAAGTATTATAGATGGAGATATTTTAGAAGGGAGCAACTCACCTGTTTGACAAATGATATAAGCCTCTTGATAGCAAAACTCAGCACTTTTTGCTGGGTTTTCAACCCCAAAAAGGGCTCTTTTCAGTATTGCCTCAGAGATGACACCCTAGAAAAATCAAGAAACAAAAAAAAACATCAAGAGTATAAATATAGCTAATATTTGTACTATAGCTGATATCTAGGACGAATGTAAGGTATATTGAACAAGGGCACTTGCCTCTAATGAAATTCAATGGTCTTATATATATATATATATATATATATATATATATATATATATATATATATACACACACACACACACATATATACATACACACACACACACACACACATATATATATATATATATATACATACATATATATGTGTGTGTGTGTGTGTGTATACATATATACATATATATGTGTATATATGTATATATGTATATATATATATATATATATGTATATATACATATATATACATATACATATATACATATATATATATACATATATATATATATATATATATATATATATATATATATATATATATATATAGAATAGAGATCAAATACAAAGCCTTCTTAATTTACAAAGTACAACTCATCTTGACCGTCCGATGAGTTGATCCAAAGGACATAAAGGCAAGGTGGCATTTTTGTAATAAAACCCAACTTCTTAGGGTGCAACTCGTTGCACCTTAATGTGAAACTATTATTTTTATGACTTTATAATGTGTAATACTTTGAACCTCAATATGCAATGCAAATAACGTCAAGGTGCATCGTACAAATATTTGCACAATAAGCACACTTTGTACTTGATCTTTCCCCTATATATATATATATATATATATATATATATAGGGGAGGGTTCTAATGAAAACCCCTCTTAAAATGAGAACTCGTGAGAACCCCGACAACCGATGGTATTTTTGGCTGAAATTTTTTGTGTATGTTCCTCATCAAGTCTAGTTCATCTATACCAAATTTGAGCAAAACATTCAATCAGGAAGGTCGTCAAATGATTTTTGAAAGAAACTGGTCCG